TTTACTGCTGTTACAGGATAGTGATTTTCAGTTTCAGCACTGAAAATGATTGGATTAGAGAAAAAGAAAAGTGTTTATTATTTATCAGCAGACTTATTTAAAAATAGCCTTTGCTCTGTAGCTGGAATGAAAACAAAACATAGTCTTTTGCTTCTGCATTAGCTAGCCAGAGCTACAGGGAAGACAAAATGCAGAAAGAGTATCAGCTAAGTACAGATGTAGCTGTTATCCACTTGATGGTGTCAGATGATGTGGAGGGAAAGTGATGTATAATACTCAGAACAAAGGAAGACTTCTCTAGGAGCAACCTACTTTTAAATTTGCTCTTGCACCAGGTACTATCTCCTTTATATTTTGAGAAAGATACAGCTTATGAAGGCTGCTCATGCGAGACAAAATAACTTTATTAGTGATAATCCCTTCCCTTTGATTTCTCTGTGCTTTGAGTAATACATACTAATCCTGCTGGTCACTTTGAGGGTGATTCTCCAGTCAAACATATTAAGAATGTAGCAAACCGAAGAGTGGGAACAAAGAGTACTTAGATATTACAGATAGGCTGCTGCCTGATAAAAATCAGGAGCTGAGGATGAGGTATAAAAGTGAGGCGAAACATGTTATTGATGTAAACTCTCTCCCGTTTCTTGCTGTGTTCCCCCCAACCCATCTCCTAGCCCCTTCCCTTACTAACTTTTACCAGTTCTCCCTGCGTTGATTTCAGTGCCTTGTGGATTACAGTTGCCTGGATTAGCTAAGTTTACTGAGGAAGGGGCTGGCTGAACCCAAGGGAGGTGCATTGGTTGTGGTATGTGGGGTGCTGGGTTCAAATGTGACAGTCATTGACTAACTGATGTAGCAGAGGGTAACTGAATAGTAGATTGTGAGGGAAGCAAAATGCGCTGCGTAGCTACAAGTAGTAGCAGAAGGCTGGAAGAAGCAGGGCTAGGGGATACTGCAGGTCTCAGAGCAGGCTTACAAAACCTTAACGTCCTCCTACTAAGCCAACTGGAGAGAGAAATGCACATTTAAAAATTTGGCTTGTGTTTCTGGATCTTTCTTGATAGATTTATTCTTGGCTGAAACTGTTGTATACTTTCCTGTATTTGCAGTTCATTTCACATTCCCTAAAGATATTCAAAGCAGCTTGCCTTGAGAAAGACCAGAAAGCTACTTTATGCCACCTTTCCCAGACAGAAATGGTAGAAGACCTTCTACTGTGCTTCTGTAATGATTATGCAAAGCTAGGGCAGGTCCATAGAAAATGAATATGACCCATAAAGATTCCTTTATTGTTTTTTATTCTGTAGCCTACATAGCAGCTGCTTTTTAAGTAGCATATGTGGATTTTCTATGTTCATACTTTAAAGTGAGATTTTTTTTTTTATAAAAAAGATGTTTCTTGATTTCATGCTTATGAATTATTACACATTATTTGCATTGTAGTGCCTGCAGTGTACCAAGAATAGAAGACAGAGTAGATACACGGGATAAAATGTATGTTTCCTACATCAAACGTATCACAAATTATTGATATTCTGAATACAACATTTAATTCATTGTAAGGAATCTAGTTTTCTTGAAAACTATAGGTCTTATGATGATAAAGTATGAGTTACAGCAGGAGTCATCAAAACAGATTGATTGGTTGTTGCAATGATATTTTTTGATACAGTTCACTGGTGTGTTATTGCTTTTTGAGTATACAAACAAATAAGAGTCGCTGAAGCTTTTAAAGCTTCATTATTCTTAAGCGTAACATGTGAAGATGGTGTGATGTCCTGGAAAATGCTTATTCTATATCTAGATCAACTTGAATGAATTTGATGTACATATAGCTTTTCATATGCATTAATCTAGTCTTGATTTTTCTATGATTCAGAAATCACAAAGTTGCTATTTCACTACCCAGTTAAACACCTACCATGGAGACAGATCTTTATGGGAGAAGAATCAAAGCTTGCCTCTATTGTTAATTTCAATTTAGTTCTTTAAAGCCTGCTAAGACTATATCTAATTAAACTGCACACACAGAACAAATAAGAAGTGCTACTTTTTTCGGATGACATTTAAGGTGGTGATTTTTCCTCATATGAAATCTACTCAGGGAAATCAACTTACTGTTGAGGCAGAAACTCTTTCCATAATGTTTCATTATGTACAAGCATGACTAGAGCACGTGCACAGTTTAAAAGAGTGCTTGCTGTTTGGAGATCTCGACTGTATATAGTCACAGCCATGAGACAAGTGTAATTTCAATTGTTTCTTTAATATGAAGCCAGAGTTATGTTCCTTGTCTATGGTAATATTACTCTGACAGTGATGTCTGATTGTGCTACATGTAGAGCAGAAACCTCCTACAAAATATTTGGAGACTGTAGACTAGTGATTAGTTTTGGAATTGAGAATTCTTTACGTGTTCCTGCCCGACTCCTTTCATAACATAAGCTGCATTCTTTTGCTTTGTTTTTGCATTAAGCCAAACATGCTTTGCATCTTGCCCTTCTTATTCCAAGTTCAATTTCTTATCTTTAAATGTGCACTAAAATAACTGAAATAAACCTTTAGGCAAAAAAAAAAAAAAAAAAGGGCAAGGGAAGTGAATTATTCAATTGCTAATGACCAACACTACCCTAGACATCTCTTTAAAGATTTCTGGTCCTGTGGTATGTTTACTCATCTTTTCTCTCCATCCCTGAAGCATGTGTGGGTGGGTGAGTGAATCACGTTGTGTGACATGAAGGCTAGGTCACAAATAACCCTGGATGTCTCACAAGAATGCTCTGCAATGCTTTTATGATCCATGTAGATATACTCCGCTACTGACATGCAATTCCACTAACATTAACAGTGCTCGTCATAGAGAGGTCTTCCTCACCCTGCTCTACCTCCTTTGCAAGGCCTTAACACAGCAAGTAGGAAGCAGCTTACCTAGGGGTAAAGGGGTAGGGGGGAATGTTTTCCTCATCTGACGTCGTCTTCAGGTTTTCAGTGCCTTTTTTGTTCCATAGTGGGATCATGCCAAGAGCTGTTTGAAGCTTCTAATGGTAAAACAGAAAAACAGTCTTCTGTTCTTAATAGGGGTTATTTAGGGCACTCACCGGAGATACCAGATATCCATATTGAGGTTGGCTCCGGGATTAACATCTTGGTTTGCCACCTGTTTTGTGTGGATGCTATTGACTATTGGCTATTGACTATCCTGGGTTGAACAATAAGCATGCTTTCTCTTTGGAGTCACTTGGAAAATCTTAACTTGACCTGACTGACTGTAGTCTCTGTTTCTTGATTTTCAGTTGCTGTTTCTCAGAATTGTTCCCTTGTTTCTAGAATGGCCAGTTAAAACCCTGTATCCTACTATTCACTGACACTGGTATAGGTGCAAATTCAAACTGGCATCCAAATTATCCTAATTAAGCTTTTTCTGCTACCCCTTTTCTCACTTGAGAAAGATCTTCCTTTCTCTAATATTCCTCCTTACCTTACCACGTCTTTTCTCTCCTTTTTATTGCTTCTGAACTCTATCACTTAAGTTTATTTCAATTTAAGAGTGTTTTTTTGTATAATTTTTTTAGAGTGTGTTTACTAGTTTACTCATCTTCTGTGCACTTTCAGGTGCAGAAGACTGTATGGGTATGGTGTGTGTGAATACGTGGAGGAATAATCTTTCTGCCTTTATTCTGACCTATTCTTTGGTAAACTGAGCTCTAGATGACCTCAAATGGTCAAAGCAATTAACTACAGCATTAATTACTTTCTGATCTATTTCTGTCAAAGTCCAACCAGAAAATTCTGCACTGAGCAGTAATGTTTAAACAGGGCCAGAATGAGAAGAGTAATTATATGTGAATGAGTGCAAAGGATGTCTGTTGCACTTAGGAAAATGGATCGTTAATGCAGTGATGTAGAACAGAACAGAAGACTTGCTATAGTATAAAAAAATCGTCTCCGAATGTTGTCCCTTTTGTTCAAAATTTCAGTTAAGGAATAGAATACAAAAGTCACTGGCGCTTCCCAAGTCATGCTTAGGTCAGAAATACTTGCCAAAGACATTTCCTCTGTGGAAGTCAAATATACAGCATTTCTCAAGTCTAAGGCCTTGAGAAATGGATCAGCCTTTCCGAGTTCTGAATACCGAACTTTTTTTATGTTGCTATGTGCTTGAAAATTTAGAAAAAAAAAACAGTAATAAATTAGCTAGTTGAAAAAGCTTAGGAGACAAAAGAAGTGGTGTATATTTCTTCCAATAGGATAGGTGTGCATTATAAATATGGCATGTTATTTTGCTCTGGTATTTTCCTCTCTGAAGGGGAACCCTCTTTGGTGAAGTTCAGTGAATTAAGTTATCTTGTTTTATACATAAAAGATCAGTTGTGGTTTGGTAAGCACACTTTATATCTGTGATGAGCATTCTGTTTTAGCAGAGAAATGTAACAGCCACTCTCCTCCATAGTATTACACTTTTTTTTTTTTTTAAATTATAGGAAAAAAAAATCCAAGCAACTATGTATATATAACCTCCCCTCCCCCCGCTAATTTGCTGAAATCATGTTTGCTTAAGGAAAAAAGGGCATCCCTTTTCCTTAGCATCCTCAAACATGAGTTCAATATACTGTTGTAAAATCCTCTTTCCTTTCCTGCACTAACTCCTTCTTTATTTGCAGCTCATCTGATGGCACCTTTCTGTGTATAAATCCAAAATCAGCAAGTTTATCTGAATGCAAGTCTCTGGTGTCATTTTGACACCAGTTAGATTGGTGTTATGTTTTTTCCCTATTTTCCTGGCTTATGCAGAATTAGAAAATGATACCAGGCTTATCTTTGAAAACATGAAGCTATTTATAGGATGTGGAGATATTGTCTATGTGTTTCTTTTCAAGTCTAAACAATAGAATTTTTTTTTCTTTTCTAACTAGTATATCTAAGGACTAGCATAGGATAAACTGAGGAAGGATAGGAAACAAAGCACAACTATACAATGATATTTGTTTTCTGACCTGCAGGTAATGGGACATTGATTGGAGCATCTGCAAACGTTGTTTGTGCAGGAATTGCTGAGCAACATGGTTATGGCTTCTCTTTCATGGAATTTTTCAGGTACAATTTAAAATTTCTCACTTTAAATCTGTCATTATTTTTTCTCTAGACAAACAATGGATCCTCCAATGGGAAAATCTGGAGAAAGGATCTATGAAATAGACCTGGGTTCCTAATTTATTTTTGGCAATTGAAATACAAGCTTAGGGTTGGACACTATTTTACATGGTTTTGACAGGATGTACAAAGGTGGTGATGGGTGACAATGAAGCCCCAGAAGAAACAGAGCCTCAGAATTCTCCGCTTTGGTCAATTGAATTTTATCTTCAGCTCTATAGTGACACTAAAAGTGATGCTCTGTTGTTAAATTTAGTTTAAACTTACTTACATTTTCTTATCGATATATTTTCATGGACATTCTATCAAAAGGAGAAAGTAGGATATCCCAGTTTAGACGAATAGAACTTTACTGCACAGTTCCATGAGTAAGCTCATTTATCTAAACACAGTTGTTTTTTTTTTTTTCTTTGACCTGTTTCTCAGCAGCTGTAATGAAAGAGTGACAAGCTGCTAGTAACAACTCAAGTTGCTGTTTTAATAATTGAAGTTACTCTGCAGGTCATTCAAGAGTATCAACAGGTTTTTAAGGGTCAAGAGCTATACTTAATGCGTGAGACAGTTTAATATTTTTCCAAGCAGCTCTGATTTTCAGAGCTGTGGATGGAAAGGTTTAAATGAAAGCTGGCAAATGGAAGACCAGATATGAAATTAAGGTTTAAGGTGCAGCTAATTTAGCGAGAGTATCATTCCCTGCTGATGTTTACTGTCTGTTTATGGCAGAGATTACAGGTAAGTTCATACCAATCATTTCTTGCTTTCTTCTTCACATTGATTTCTTTATTTTAGTTTCTCAACTCTGCCAGCTTTCCTTTATATTGACTCTCTGAAAGCCTTCAAACCTGCATGTTAATCATATGGGAGTGTCTGGAGCAGGGCCAAGGACAACACTAGTGAGAAAGACGGTCTGAACTGCTCTTGCTGAAATTCCCAACAAATCCCCGAGCATGTGCTGCTCATAGCAGAATTTATCCCTCCACACATAGTCCTCCAATGACATGTTTTAGAAAGGTAGAATGCCCATCAAATCAAAGTATGTTTTCAAGACCCTTGAGACTGCAATACTGTCTAGTGTGGCATGCAGTGACAACTAACAGACCTAGAATGAAAAACAGAGCGTTATATGAAAGAGGTGGTGATATAGCAATAATAGGTTTATTTTGGATTGTTCTGCATGTTTTGCAGACATTCAGCTTGTCATTTTGGGATTTAACTTATATTTATCATTAACAATGTGGATTCTATGTGGATTTTGTAATGAGACTGTCTTAAAGCTTCCATCACATTGACTACACATCTAAGCAGAGACAAGGATGTATAAAGCTAACTAGTCTCTTAAGCAGTGTTCACTGGATTGTATTCTTCTCTAGGAAGACTGAAGATAATACAGAGATATCCTGAAATTACCTTCTTTAGGTATGCTTTCAGTAGGAATAATTACTGGGGAAGACAGTAGTGAGCAAAGATGCGAGAACTGAACCCAGAGTGGTCACAGGAAGATAGCAGCGGATGTTAATTAGCAGGAAGAGCATAAAAGCCCACTTTTGCTGGTGTTTTCTCTGTCACTGAGCAGGCAGTTCATGAATTTCTTTGTAATTTGCCTTAAAAAAAATTTGTTTCAATCAAATGTACCCTAATTCAATATTATCTGTGGCTTCTCCTGGCATTAAGAGGTGTTACTTCTATGACTTCAGCATTTTGATATTGCTTACTTTTATTGAAAAGGTTGCCTCAAAGCAGAAAGTGGTTTCTGCATGTGCTGTGAGAGGACTGATGGGCTCAAGACCATTTTCTCATGTGTCTTTGTGAAACAAACAGTTCGACATTTGGCACAGCTGCAGGTTACCCTTGCAAAAGGCAAGAGAGGAGCTGAGACAGCCCAGCTAGTGTTGCACAACACTACGCCGCCAGGCTAGAGGTGGTCAGGTGTGATAACCTGCCTCAACTGCTGTGACTGCTGTGGTTTGCCCAGCTTGATATGCTCCCATCTAGAGTGTCTTCAGCAGGGGAAGAAATCCTCGCAGATTGGGTGCAAGGCCATGAATGCCCCAGTCTTTCAGAACTCCTGGGGATCAGTGCCCTTCAGAGACACCTCTAAATGCTTCCTTTCCTGGATCCAGATTCCTCCCTCCTCAAGGACCTGTGTGGCACTCATTTCCTTCCAGACAGCTGGATGTGGCTGGATATTGGGGGAAGAGAGCCAGCCCTGGTATCCTTACCATCTGAGCAACTCAGGCCCATGTGCTGGAAGTGCTGTGCCAGTGAGGAGGTCCCGGAAGGATGACATTTGAGTGGTGATGATTATCCAGAGACAGGAGTGAGAAAAGCATAGATTGTCCCTCCTTGCAATGCAAAAAATTCTCACAGCCTCGCTATGCTGGCTGTGAACTGGGGTGGGCATGGGAAGCTCTCAGGAGCTCTGCAGAAGCCACTCACTGGGTGGTACTGGGAAGAAGAGTGTGTTTAACCTGTTCAGGTGGCGTGAGTTGGAAAAGGAGAAAGGTAGTTGCGTGGCAGCTGCCATTTGTGTGATGCACTGTAAAACCAGTAGGATGTAGTTCTGAATGTCTTGCTTGCAGATGTGTGTGGGGGCCTGGTTCTTTGCTGTGCAGTCTGGGGTTGCTGCTCTATTCTTTAAAAAAGTGGACATGTGTCCTCTTTCCATGCAGAAGGGAGCTGGGCATGGCCACATTTACAGATTGCTAAGACTGATTTTGTTTAGATGTGCTTCTAGCTGTAGTTGCCATTTTCACTGTACCCACGTTGTTCTGTGAGCTTGCTAGGTGTTTTTCAGATCTGTTTCTGGTTCAGAGAACTGCAGTGTCCACTGGCCGAGAAGGTAGCAGTTCCCAAACATACATGCCACATTGTCTGGCTGATTACTATAAAAAAAAAATCATGTATTTTTCATGGTGCTAAAATACACATACACATGCATACATACATACATATATATGTTATATATGTATATATATAACCACTGAATCCATTAAAACATGGTGGTAGGGCAACAAGAAGGACTTCTACAGGTATTATCAACAGCAAAAGAAAAACCAGAGAAAATGTGGGCACTGGTGACAAAGGACATAGAGAAGGCCAAGGTACTCAATGCTGTGATCAGTGGAGGGAAGTCCAGTTGGAGGCTGGTCACTAGTGGTGTTCCCCAGGGGGCTGGACTACATGTTGTCAAGAGCTGCCTTTTGACCTAAATGATTATGTGATCGAGCTTTTAATTAGCCTCATTAGCAGGCTCCAGAAAAGTAACTGCTACTGGATGGCTCATTCAGACTAACTCAGATTCAAAGGAAAGGAAGCAATGTTCAGACAAAAAGATCCAGAGGTCCTAGAAAGATCAAGTTTAGGAGTGGAAATTTGCTTAAGATGCTCTTGGATTTTTGGATTAAGTCCAACTAAATTACACTCCTCTTCCACCTTGGAAATTGCTTTATCAAACTGTATTTATATTCTTTCATCCTTCCTTCTGAAAAATCATTTGTCCCCTGATTTGTTATTATCCTTCTAGCAATTTGGAAGGCAGGGCTGTGAACACAATATTCCAGGCATAGTCCCGTTATATTTTTTTCATATTACAAATGTATGTTTAAATACAAAATCCTGAGCTATTTGTTTAAGCTATGCCATTTCAAATGTCTTTTTGTTTTGCTAATCAGTGTTTAAACCCAAGTCTTCTTCAGCTTTTGTGTTACTTTCTTTCATTGAGCATGAGTATAACTGTTCTTTCTCCTACACCGCCAATGGTAGTTCTTGTACTTCTCCCACTTTGTGTTTCTAGTTAACATATCACCAATGGACAGAGGTAAAAGACAAACAGCTGTGATATGTGATCAAGTAAGTGGATTACTGGATGACCACAAACACAACTATTAAAATGGTAAAAATAGAATATTACCGTGAGTCAGTGGGGTTTGAGAGAGGAGACAGAGCGCAGCAGGATGTTTGATGTGCACGGTCAAGGATAAACAGCAGAGCAAACAAATAAGCTTGACATTTCTTGAGAGAAGAGCAATTTTGTTTGGTAGTCTTGACCCTGTAGAAAATATTAGATGTGTTAATAATGTGAAAGTAATAGCTCAGTGACAGCATATATGAATATGTAGAAGGCAGGGAAAGATGATATGCATATTATGGGTTTTATTTTAGTTATCAGAGAAACCTTAAATCATAAATAAGACTAATTAACATAAGGGAAAACTCGGAATGTAAGACAGTACTATTTCTCTTAGCAAATGGTCAAATAAAGACAGTATAGTCTTGTTGCCAGAATGATTTCCAGAGGTTAATATAGTGATTTTGTATCTATTAAGGCAGTAGAATAATCAAGAGAGCTTTGTTTTTCTCCAGCAACAAAAGAGAAATAGCATTGTAGATGTCTCTTGCAACCTAGGTGCTGCTTTACAAAGCTATATTTGCTGTGAGTTTCTTTGCTGTGAAATGGCTTTCCACTAGGTTGATTTGCCCTATGGAATGTGAAAATGACCCACAGAAATCTTCTTGTTAGCAAGGAAAAAATTGATGCTAACTTCAAAGTATGAGAAGAGCTTATTGCTCCAGAAGCTTTAATTATCTATTTCTACCTGCTAACACAACTGTCAGCTTGATTTTAATCTTCTCTATAAGAAATAACATTTATAAGGTTATAAATGTATATAGTATCTCACAAACATATAAAATAACACATATTTCTTCACCCTATTGCAATTCAATACTTCTCACCACTGTCTGTGATACACAGTGTGAAAAAAATCACGGGTAAGTGCTCAAGCTATTTGACAGGAAAAGAAATTGAGTATTATTGGCAATGAACTAATTTTATTTCAAGCAAATTTTGGCTGACTGTGAATATGTCATGGTGGGAAACATATGGGCAAGGGAGAAATGGATAAGATAACTTTATATAATGGGCTAAGTATATGGGGAGAGAT